CACTCACACATACAAACTAAAACTACTAAACTCAGAAAGTCGGAATTAAATATATGGTGGTATAATAAAAGTTATCTTATTATCCTTATCTGCCAGACACACCAAACTCGTGTATATAACAACAGCATCACTGATACATCTTTATGACTGGAAATTAATGCAAAGTAGTACATGCAAGGAAACAAGAATCTGAAAACTTAATTAGCTTTAAATTAGTTTTTAATTAGACTTTGTTACAGTTGAGCAGAATAGAAAGCTCATCACACATAGACATTTACATAAAGAAGCAAACCGAAACGGATCACTCCAGAGCAGATCTAATAACAAAAGTCTCGATTAAAGATGAATCTCAAGACAACCAGCTTGACATACTTCCTCAATTCCTCAATTTGTATGCTTGACAGCAGGCAACCGCTGTTTTGTTGAACAAAACTCTATCTTTGTTTGTTTTAAAACATACTGATTAATAAAGCTTCAAAACACGATCCAGAAACAACCGGTTGGGCAATGTTACCTCACACGGTCTACTATGTGTCATTTGTTTTATACCATCTATGTTTTACCATGACATTTGGAGAAAGAAGAACAAAGGCTCCTGACGTTTGCCAGTTCATTGGCATCACCTCTCTCTTTCTCAACATCAAGCTGAAGACGGGAGGCGAGCCGCCCCGCAGGTCACCTTCGCACACGATCTCGCTGAATTCCAGTTTTGACTCATACCTCGTGTCTGAACCCCCGAGTCAGCCACAGCCGTCTGGACCACGCTGCAGACCGGGTTTCTCCTGACGCAGCGTCAGCTAATGGCCCCGCCGGTTCTGGAACCAACTGGTGGGGGGGGGGGGGTTATTATTATATTATTAATAGGTAGCGCAAGAAGAGTCGTTAAGTGCAACATGCTTTCCTTTTTTTCCTTCTTTTGTCTTTAATTTTATACTCTCACACTCAGGAAATTTCCCCCTTTGTTTTTATTATGTATATTATATAAGTATTTCTTTAATTCAAATGTTAACCGGAGACCAATTTAGCTGAATAACACTGATTGTGGCTACAAGCGTTTTTTTTTTAAAAGAAAAAAAATCAAATGCAGCACAACCAGAGATATTGTCCATGTTATCCCTTCTTCTTCTTCTTTGTGAAAAAATGGCGCCTACATTACCGACAGTCCCACTCGGCAGCCTTCAATTTAGTTTACTATGCCATTTTTCTGTTGAATGCTCCTTTTTTGTCACATTGTTGGACTGGATCAGTGGAGCTCAGCTGACAATGGCTAATATTGTGGTAATGAAAAGGTTTCTACGAAGCTGCCATAGAACACCTAGACGTAAACAAGAAGCTGAATTAAACCGAAACTCAAAGTGCCTCAGTGTGTTTCCATAGTGATTAAACATTCATTTAATGCTGTATTACTGGAACAGAGAGGAAGTTTATGACAGCACCTTTTTTCTCCCATTTTATTCGATGGGATTGGAGTGGTATTAAAATGCTTTAAAAAAACTAATTAATTTTCTCAATTAAAATATATATTTTTTATATTTATATTAGATAATAATAATTTAGTAAGCTTGGTGAGTCTGAATTCAGCTTTGGGCTGGTGGTTTGCTGCACATGCAACCTCTATTGACTGACCACCACTGGCAGTAATAGTCCCAATAAGACCTGTAAACAGACTTTGATCCAGACAACCATCATTGTGAACGAGAGAAGTGGGACAACAAAGACACTATTTTAGGGTCTTCAGCATTATTTTACACACATTTCCCCCAATAATCAGCCTGATATATATTTGTTTCTTTGTGTTTGTGATTTTGACTGGTTCTTTGGCTTTAAACAGAGTTTTTAATGACTTTGCACAGCAGATTAATGAGGTTTAACAGGTTAAAGAGAAGCAGCAGAGCTATCATCTTTTCAGAATAAAATGGCAGAGTTAAAATCTCAGTGTGTCTGAACCTGTATTCGGTCCTCGTCCAAGTCAAGTCTCCCGGCCAGCTGCTCCCTCAGCTGGATACCTGGATAACAGTTCACCTGAAACACTCTCTCCAGTACATTCACCTGCACACACACACACGCACACACACAGATTAACAGACTAAATACAAACTAGTATTTGTTTTCAGTGTTTTATGCTGGATGTCCTCAACCTCATCACGTATCTGAACTACAATGATCCTTTCTTATGATCTATTTCCCTGAATGACTAATTGTCTGACTGACTGATTGATTACCTGGCTGTTGGTAAAAGCAGTTCGTGGTCTGCGTCCGATGTACCAGTTTGATGTCGGTCTGGGAGAGTTCAGCTGCTGAGAATGATGTTGTTGTTGTTGACAACACTGTTGTTGTTTAGAGTAACTGCTGTGTCCTGTGTTCTCCTTCTCCGCTCCGATCTCTGGGTTCAAACATAAAAGAACAATCACACATTACACACGTTTCATAATTAAAATATGATATTCCATCAGTCCTACAAAATAAGGCTTTTATATTCTAGACCCAACTGATTTTACACACATTAACATACATTTTACAGTTTAATCGGTTAATATTTGCCTTGATTGTATATTGGATTACGGAACTGTTTATATTTTTATCCAAAACAATTTTATCCTTTAGGTTCATGAAACACTGAGATGAGTTTAGTTACAGTTCAGTTTAATGTAGCTGAATGGGATAATAGCGTGATCAATCAACAGAGAAACTGAATGAAAAAAGAGTTTGTTTAGAGGTTTCCTTTTCATCTATTGTCTCAGAACAGCTTCTCAAATTAAATATTTGTTTCAAGACGCTGCAAAAGACCTGAACTTTAAACAGCCACAGCAGGTTGTTGGATAGGAGGGCTGGAATTTTGTACAATTTTGGTTGTTTGTCCAAAACCAAACTGTTCATTGAAATATTTTCAGTCAAAAATTGTATTGAATATAACAGCTAATTTAGCTTTTTAATTGTTAAATCAATAAATAACAATACCAACCTAAGAAGTCATATAATTACAGAAGAGACCACAAAACTATTTATTTTCAAAAAACAACTTTTACTGTGAAAAAATGACGTGTATAATTACCTTTATATACAGTTACAGTGCTGTATAAGAGGATTGTGGTGCTCTGTGTTATATACATTTATACCAAACTAAATGGATAATACTATCAATAATCATTTTGCTGTATCTCAACTGTGATTGCACATTTATTTTCTACAGCACACTCATCTACATGAGACAGAAAACTTGAATTATATGTGTCTTATACAAGACAGCAAGGAAATACTTGGTCAATTCTATATTTCTATAGCACTAAGAACTAAGATGCACTAAGATGCACACAGTTCATATGAGAATGACATTTGGTGCTTCATCAATAAGAAACAGACCCGTCACTCTTTAACTAACTTAACAGAAAACAGTTCAAACTTTTGCTCCTCACCTGCCCAGGGTCGGTGGAGCTTCAGGCAGTTTCCAGGTCTTTCCAGCTCCAAACCCAGAATCCGCTCGATGGAAAACGCCGGCCTGTTTTCTCCTGTAACAGGAGCCAAAGTGGATGCCATAATGATTGATCTGACTGAACTGATCAATAACCAGTGTTGAGAGCGTGCTAATAAAACTACTGACAACAACAAAAACAAAAAAATAATTCCATAGGTCGATTTTCCTTAAATAAAAATCTCCAACTAAAGGTTCTCCGCTGTGGAGATGTGACCAGAAATCAGCTGAGAAGGTGAATGGATGCTTAAGTCTGTGGTACATGTGAAGCAGCAGGAATACAAACTGCTGACTGCTGGTTTAAATGGGAGTGGAGGATTTACACTGGCCACCAATTAGAATTAAGAAGTGGTTTTCCATGTGAATGAGACTCCCCGAGGTTCCATACAGCAGCTAATCTCTGCTGTGTGTGTCTGTATGTGTGTGTGTTTTACTGAGGGACAGCATATTTACATTTTCAGTTTACTTAAGTTTCACAATCAAATGCTACAACTCTGCAAAAAACAGGGTATTTGCAAACTTTTCAGCTTGTGTGTGAGCGTGTGTGTGTGTGTGTGTCTATATCTGGGTTTTCCCTCATGAAATATACTGTATGTGTGAGATTAGGATGTGGAGCCTTTATAATAACTGTCACTAGTGTCACACAAGCACAAAGCATGATTGCACCCTTTTCTTCAGAATTACCAAAGTAGAAAATCTGTTTAGTTTTCACGCTAAAAATACGTCCATCTTTCTGCTGCAAGTCTGTGACGGAGTTTAATCTAATAATAATAATAATAATAATGATAATGATGGCAATAGTAATGATCCGGCGAGATCCACTAATGCTATTAGCCTAATCTGTGTGTGTTGTGATGCAGATGAAGCTCGTAGGGTCTGAATGCAGGTTGAAGCAGCAGGGAAGAAAACCTTTTCAGAACCAGATTAGCTCCTAATGAAGGCCTGAAGCAGCTTTAAACTAACAGCACACTTGTTTATTTAACCCTCAATGAAAGGCAGGATGGATGGAAGGATGTGATTACTATAGGCGGAAAGGAAGGCCATTTAAACTCAGCTTCGGTGTAACTGGTGGATTACAGTTGAAGGAATATTTCAACATTTTGGGGAAACAGATGTACTTTCGTACTGAGAATGAGATGAAGATCATTATCAATCTCGTGCCTGTGTGTTAAATACAACACTGGAGCAAGGAAATTATTAGTTTTGCTTAGTTTAAAGAAGAAACAGGGACACAGCAAGACTTTGTCCAAAGTTAAAAAATACACCAACCATACCTTTAAAGCTCACTAATTAACTTGCTGTGTTGAGTTAAATAGTGCAGTTCCTCCATCCACCCTGTATTTCTTTGCAGCATCTCTGGCTAGAGCGGATTATAAGATTTGATTGGTGAGCAAAAGTTTTGCTTTTGGTCTCCAAAGCCTGGCAACATTACTGTGACAAGACATCAAGACATGCACATAGTCACTGCACCGGTTGTTTGCCAAAAAACAGCTCATGCCTTAATGCACGCATGGTATTTTGTTTTATTTCTTTTTAGGTAGAAGGTAAACCAACCAGACGCTTTGTAGAAGTATGACAGTTTATTGGCATGCTATTGTTTCACTTTGGAAATAGCTAAGCTAGCTGATTCCCCCTGTTTCCAGTCTGTGTTAAGAGTGACATAAATGCTGACAGTATTCAAACTTTTCTGTCTTACAATAGAACATGTTATACACTTTTTGGAAACAAGCTTTTAAAGTTACAGCAGACTGTCCACTAAGCAGTTTTCAGAACAGTTTCTGTAACAGTCCCTGCATTCCTATCAACATATTCATTTACTGTTAAAGTAAAATTCATTTAAAGACAAGAAAAAACTAATTTAAAAACATTTATAACATGTGCTTTCACTGGTACTGATACTTCCCAAGACTCAGGGGCGGACGTAGAAGGGTGGCATGGGGTAGCAGTTGCCACCCCTAAAAAATGCCTGGCCACCCCAGTTATCAAACGCTGTTTAACACATTAATTTAGATTAATTTTTAAAATAATGTGTTAAAAAAATGAAGATTTGGAAATAAAACTATTTATTGATTTCTTATACCACTATTAGATATTTCTATTCGCTGCTTTACTGATGTGCCACAACAATATCATGTTTTTGAGTTCAAATATCTTTTGGGGGCTTTTACAAGCAAATATTGATATATGTGATTCTTTGTGATTAAATCAACATTCCTGCCAACCGTTAAAGTCTCCATGTTACCCTATGAATATTTCTCTAGGTCACCTCTGCCGAGACTGCAATGAAACCTGCACTGGAATCAATTCATTGTGGGTTTGTGAGTGAAAGTCTCTTTCTGAATTGAGGAGTTAAAGTATTTCTGGGTTTTTATTCAATATTAAAAACAATGTGGAAAGTGAACTGGTGCAGTATCTGCAGTGTTGCAGCCATTACACCGGACTGTCATGGTGAAGAGGGAGATATCATGAGCTTTGGGTCGTGACTAAAACAGGGAGAGCGTGTATACAAGAGGTCAAAATGAGCTTCAATCGTAGGGTGGCTGGGCTCTGGGTTGAGGAGCACATCTGAAAGGAGCTCAGAGAAGAACCACTCCTTCATGTTGAAACAAGCCAGCTGAAAAGGTTTGGGCATCCGATCTGGGTGCCTCCTGGAAGCCTCACTTTCTGAGTTTTCAAGGCACGTCCAACTAGAGGACGACCCTGAATATGTAGCACAGATTATTTATTCCGTCTGATAACGCCTCAAGATCCCCCTGGAGGATCTGGCTGAGGAGGAGGACGTCTGGGCGACATTGCTTAAGGGGTCAGTATAATTGCTTGTCGGATTGCTGCTTGTCAAAAAGCTAAAAAAAAAACTTACTAGACACCTTAAAAAGTTTAAAAATTAGGGAGGGTGCATTTCTTTAATGTCTGTCAATCACACTCACTTCACACAGTGATTGGCAAGGTGTTTGAAGGTGTGAGAATAAGACAGGTTTCAACTTCTCTCTCAAGCTCTTTTGTAATACTTCACACAACTATGTTTGACAGTTTTCATTTAAGTGTAGCATCATGAATGCCTTTGAGACAAAACTGTCGAAAGTGTAAACCTTGCCAGTATCATGTAAACATAGAACTAACATTACCTCATTAAAACTCCACCCCTTACCTGACACGCCTGAGATGCCAGTAATACTCTGTCATTCTTCCTCATGAAAAAAGAAAACAGCCTCAGTCTAACAACATCCACTGAGAGAGGACAGCCGGAGGACGGACGACCCCGCGCTAAACGTGAGTTTTACAAACAGCACGACTCAAAATGGAAGTAAGTGTCGTGGGGCCACATGTGACTGACTGCTCCTGGTATGGTATGTTTTCAGATTCCTTCAGAGAGAAAATGTCCTTGCGATCAGAGGAGGATCTCTACTGTCCTGTCTGCCACGACATCTTCAAAGATCCTGTTGTTCTGACATGTAGCCACAGCTTCTGTAAAGACTGTTTGCA